AAATGTATGTTGTATATTTTTTTAGTAGTTTAAATAGCTTCAGGTCACGGCCATGAGTGTATGACTTGACAGAGCTTAATATCGCAGAATAATTCATAATGATGAAACCTAAAATCACAACTTTACATGCACAGCCCCATGTGTATTCTTCCATTAATTATGTGCATGGCAATTCACCTTCTTCTCCTTGTGCTTGTCCTTGTGTTTGTCTGCGCTGCCATCTTTGTGCTTCATCTTTTCCTTCTCCTTGTCTCTGTGCTTTTTGTCAGAGGAGTCCTTGTGATCGCTAAAATTAAAAAAAGGCAGAACTATTAAATGTAGGTCGTTTCACCTTCAGAAAATCAATACATAAAATGTGGTTATGACAGTATTTTTTGCTTTGAGCCGATATCGACAGAAATATGCATTTATGAAGCACGGCCTGTACCTGTTGGCATGCTTCGATTTCTCTCGTTCCTTGTCCTTCTTGTGGTCCTTATGTTTGTGGTCCTTATCTTTATGCTTGTCTTTATGCTTGTGGGAGTCTATGAGAGGAAAAACATTTGTCAACTTCTTGAAATTAAAAGATAATGACAATAACAATGGACTGAATACATGGTACGCCTGCCTCGGGCTGAAACCATTATGAAGCTATTAGCAGGTGGCACACATTGAACAAAGTGTACTCCCCTAAAGCAGATGCTAATGTGGACAGGCTGAAAAACTGACAACCATAACACTGTCCCCCCACAAAGCTGCTCTAAGTTAAAACGTCACGTAAATTGCTACAATTGGTCTGAACATGCACCACTATCTGAATGTCATGCACAATGTAGGCTGAGAAATGTATTACACAGTAGTACAGCACCACCTACTGCCCATATAAGGGTAATTGTTTTAGACATCATCAAACATCTGACAGGTTGAAACATGCCAGTGAACAAAATAGTCTCTTTAATTTGTAAACCACAGCAAAGAGAAATCTCTTATTGTATGAAAAGAAGGCAATTACCCAAATCAAAGAGCCCACACCCAATCTTGACGTAAACACCAAATCAAGTCTACCAGCTTCAGGGGTATTAGGCAATACACAGTCTAGTCTACTAAACACTCCCAACAAATGTCTATATTGTCCTAGAATACCAGTGTAGGACAAACAGTTTATAAAGAAAGTGGTTTGACAAGTGACTCATTCATTCACAATGACACTTGTACTACCTTGTTTATTACATGTATTATTGTAAAAGAGTTTGCGGTTTCCTTTTTTTGTTTAAGATGACAGAGATGAGTTGTGTCGTCATCTCAAAACTAGACCAAATCACGTAGAGACTATTTCAAAGATTTGATCGCTCCTACTACACACTGAAGAGCAAATCTGACAGGCCAACACTACACTCTACAGTTCACAGCTGAAAAACTAAATCTCAGAATATATGTTTTGTGGTAAACTAGCAAGCAGTTTCTCCCAAACCATCCAAAAAGTACAATTTGTGCTAGTTAATCCGTTTAACAGATGCACATGTTATTATCTTTTCAACATGCTGGTGTTATATTCTTTAAAAAACACACAACATTGCACTCTGAAGTTAGAAAGTCCAGTCTGAGTGGAATTTATCCAGCAATCTCTCTGATAATTAGAAGAAAATGCAGAATAATTTAGGTCCCAGTAGTTTGTTTTCCAATTGCTGATTAATGAAAACCAAATAAGTGGATTGGTGATGGTCATTTCTTAGTAGACTTGTTAGCCCGAGATTCATAATGCTATGTGGCTGGATTCAAGGGCCCGAATAACATTACTGAAACACATAACTAACTTGGACAATATTTAGAGTTCATACCCTAAAACAATTAGACAACATCAACAGGACTAAAAAATAAAATGTTTTTTTCTTTGAATGACATATGGTGATGCTTTATATAGGTTATTAGTTGAAAAACATTCTCGTAATAAAACTCCCAAAACATGTTCATATCCTCCAATATTCTCGTTTAGCTTGAGATACAAAGCATTAAAGTTAATGAAATGATGTGCTGTCTGTTGAAATGAGAATCCAACTTAAAAAACGGTTCACTTTCTCCTAGCATGTGGGAATTTGAAGTCGCAGTTGCTATAATAAAAAGTTATGCTATAAAAAGGAGTTAACGACCGTATATTTAAAAAACTGTAGACCCTTTCTGGTCTCTACGTGGGATCTTATCGGAGCACTGTGCCTTCCCATTTCTCCTGCACACAGCCATCTGCACACTTCACAGCCTGGGTTCAGCTTGCAGCAGACAGGCCGCTCCACTGAAAAAAGAAAATGGCGCAGAGACTAAGTCCTCAACCCCCAAACCCTCACTTTCAGGTGGGAAATATGGCATTAAAACCCTTCCAACAAACAAATCTGACACGGGAAACTAATAAAACACCTCGAGGTGTGTACCAATAATGACTGAAATTGAGAAAATAACTGGCGGAAATGCTTTTATTAGACCTCCCTTTTGAACAATAGGCGCCTGAGAGTGAGACAGAGGACTTAGTCTCTGGACGCCATTTCTGCCCTCTGCTGAGAACTACCATTTAATCAGTGGATACATGTCAGAAACCCCTCTTATAACTTGTTAACAACGTGTCACACACTTACCATTGAAACGAGAGCCACCGTCAATCTGAAAAATCAAAAACAGATTGATGTTTAATATGGTAGAGGCTAACTAGCCGGCTAACTAACTTTGAACTTGCTGGATTGGCATAGGGAGTTTGTTAGCTTCCATGCTAACTATGCTAGCGATGCTAACATGCTACGCTGACTGTTAACATGGATCAACGGCTGAAACCAGAGCCGCTACGGGCTAGCAGCAGCTAAAGCTAACGCCAAATCAAATGTGGCGTTACCCCCACTTTGTCTGGCAGTTCATACGTAGCCAGTGAAAGCTGAGAGCTAACCAGAGAGGACATGTCCTTAACAATACGTATACAGACATGATGAGACGTGTCAGGATGCTGTTATAATCCCAATAAGTTGTATTATCGTTACAAACACACTCGGGCTAACGCGTGCTAGCATGCACTATTCATAGTTAGCCAAGTTATCTTGTCAAATCAAGGCTAATAAAAGGGTGCCCATTAGCCACCATAGATGACATTACCTGGTCCTCATTGTGGGAATGGTCCCCACTCATTTCCTTAGCGTGGTTTGGTTAAAAATCTAAAATGAGTAAACGTGTAGTGGTTTCCACACACCGGCGAGGAGAAGCAGGCAGAATGAAGAAAGGCACAGTTGTGTAAGAGCTATAAGTCCCGATTGTAGACTACTGCGCATGCGTTTCAATTTAAATGGTAGGGAGCAGTGTGGCTCCTCCTCTTCACAAAACGTGTTGCTCTGCTTCAGGCCCACGATGGTCACACACAGGAGAGGAACACATGTACAGAGAAGGGAGAAGTACGCAGATATTGTACTCAAGTAAAAGTAGTACCAATATGTGTCACGCATTGCTGGAGGGAGCCTCTGACATTGCAATTGATATTGACTGCTTCTCTGTATTTGTTGTGCTTTTGATAATAAACAATCCTCCTTAATATAATACAACAAAGTAAGCAGAAATTGCTTATGTGTGTCTCTTTTCCAGAGGTGGAAGAAGTACTCAGATCTTTTATTAGTAGAAGTACTAAGAAGTGAAGCAATACTCTAATAAGTAGAAGTCCTGCATTCAAAAATGTTACTCAAGTAACAGTACAAAAGTATCAACATAAAAATATACCTACCCAAAGTAAAAGTACCCATTGTGCAAATTGGCCCATTTCAAAATAATATTATATGTTTTGATTATAATTATGAATGCATCAAAGTGGTATCAAAACTGGTAAACATGGAGCTAATTTTAACTGCTTTGTATACTGCAGGGTAGCTTGTGAATAAACTCCAGGTGTCTTATTTAAGTGTTGTTTTTATTTCATAGCATTACTCCAAATATGCAAAGTAACTAAAGGTATCAAATAAATTAAGTTGAGTAAAAGAACGCAATTTACTTCTGAATTGTAGTGGGGTAGAAGTACAAAGTAGCAACAAAATAAAGTGAAAGTCACTCAAAATTGTTCTTAAGTACAGTACTTGTATCAGGAGGACAAGCTGCTTCCAGCCCTACTTGTTTATCTGTTTTTTCTTTGTAATCACTTGATCTGTGTCCAAAAGCTAAATAAATTAGCCCTTTGTATTATGATAAATAATATCATCATTAACATCACGTCCAAAGAAGTATGTCCTTTCAGATGTATGTCCATCCCTGTATCAGCTTGTGAATATGCGCATTAAGCTATATGTCTTGTGTAGGCTAGTGTTTGACACATAACAAACAGAAGACCGTCCTGTCCTGCACAACCTTGAGAGCCAACAGGACCGATCACATTACAACTCAAAGGCAGACAGACTGCAGCTGACGAGGAAAACTGAAATTCAAAGGTATGGTTCAGAATAATAACCTCCTGACATGTCTTTCAGAGTAGATTTCAGTCTCATACCAACTGGTTTAAGTCATCCTCTTTCGTAATTTGTTTTGTTTACTATATTGTGTATCCAAAATACAGTATATCTTTCTAGCATTGATACTGTTTGTAAAGTTATTTGTTTGTATTTGTACAATGCTATTTAACCTGCTGCCACTGTAACACAAACATTTCCAATTTGGGATCGATCAATAATAATAATACATGTTTATATAGCTCTTTACTCTGTGCTCATAGACGCTTTACCATCAAATACAGAATAGAACAAAACAAGTAAAGCCAAGAGGGAGAAAGTGGAGGTAAAGGATTAAAGGGTAAAATAGTGAAAAGGTGAGTTTTGAGAGCTTTTTTGGAGGATGTGTGTGTTGGCCTTTCCAATAGAGGAGGATTTGATGGGCTACAAAATACTATCTCTATTCAAGATTAAAAAGCTTTATTGACATGTGCACAATAGCTACAGCATAGCTTTTGCAATGACAATCTAGTATTTAAAAAATATTCCTTAATCTAGTCATAAAATAATACAATGATAGGGTAGCTTGAATCTTTGTTTTGCTGTGTTTTTATTTTTGAATGAATATTTATTCCACCAGTGATTATAAGAATAATGTTCATTTTGGTCTGTTTGGATCGGCCTGCAGTACACAATGTGTTGATAAGAAAATAGTGTTTCACAGTTAAGGATGATTGCCACAAGAGGGCATTGCAGCCCATAATGTATCCTGAAAAGGCTCACCCGTCCTCAAAGTACAGTTCAATGCACCACTTGTATTGCCTCGTAAGATTAGATACAGATTTAGCATAAAAAAGACTTTAGATGTGGTGGATTGAATGAATCCAAATACACATTTTCACTGTAAACGGCTGCTAAAAACACAATGATAGGTCTCTCCTTAAGGAGATTCTGTGTATATTCCTTGTACAATAACATTCTGTGATTCACCGATATCCAACTGGATTTATTTACACTTTAATGATAAAAACTATATATTACATATCTACTAAAATGCCCTTTTAAAATCTGCACTCAGTGCATTAGTTTACAGTAAAAACCATAGAAAGTACACACTGTACATTTACTCCAGTCTTCTGTTTTTCAAGAGACAGCCCTTAAACAGCAACTGAAGAAGCATGTGGGCTTCAGTGTTTAAAGTCACAATGACAATCCAAGTTTAAATAATGTAACACATGTCACGTAGTGTTTTAATGAACTCTAAATAATAAAACAATAAAATACATTACAATATATTAATTTGTGTGTCTAATGCTATAATTTCCTTTAAGAAATATTGGAATGGATAATTACAGTGTAACAACAGCAAGACATTCAAGAGATAAAGTAGCGTTCAGAGTGTTATACATCTACTGCTCTCCCTCTTTAAACATTTGCATAAAGTTTGACTCTGCTTGGGGAGCCTGTGTTGCTGCTGTGGTTATGGCACCATGCCAAACAGCGTCCAAGGTTAGAATCAGGCATTTGAACCTACGCTGTCCTCCTTCACATAAAAAGGCAAAACCGCCCAAAACCTCATTTAAAAACATATTAAATATCATCTTAAATTCATAGTCAAATGTCTGAACAGGAAAATAATATAGTCTTCCCCCATGATGTTAAAAGCATCCGTTTAGCTCCTATTGTTTTGATGTAATAACCAACACAACATCTTGCAGATTAAGCAGAAATGCAAGGTTATGAAGGCACTGTTATAGGAACGTATTGTCCCCCCTGTCAAAATCAGTTAAAGGGCTCCTCGTGGTTTGACCTAGAAAGTGGCGTGGCTGGGTTTTGGTATAAAAACATGTAGGAGTCACACAGCAGCCTGCGTACCAGCTCAGGAGTCTGGGAGGGGTGGGAGCGGGCCATGTCCTCCTCCGGCTGAGACAGGAAGTCACCCAGCTCCGGACAAGCTCGGATCTCAGGAATGTTGTAGCCATGTTGATCGTCACCTGTTACGAAAAGATTGGCCTTAAGATTAGAGACATCAGCTGAAGAAGAGATAAACGCCAGTCAAAGACGTCAGAGAGAGGCCTTATCAGTAAAAAGGGCAGTCCATTAGAAAAACAAAACAAGTCTGCACGAACATCAGAATAAAATGACTTGTTTTGTTTTTCTGCAATGTCACTAATGGAAGAAAACGTTTCATGCCATCACAACCAAATCTGTTCTTTCAAATTGTTTCTTCCCATCTGCTACTAAGGCCGGAGACCCCCATTGGCATTGACTGTTACCCACCACACAAAACACTGTAGGGGCAAAATCAAGAAGAAAAAAAACTGTAAAACCAGATAGCAAATCTTACATCGGGAAATGAACGACTGTCCAGGAAAGAATATCCTTTGTGTAGAGCAGGGGTCTCCAACACGTCGATCGTGAGCTACCGGTAGCTCGCAAGCCCTCAATAAGTAGCTCGCCAAGCAAATCCAAAATGTAAAAAATACACCAAAAATAAGGGAAATGTAATTAAAAGAATCTACCCTATGCATAAACGAAACCTCAAACATAGCGAACTCTATCTACTTACTACAACTTTATATCTATCTAACACCCCTCCTCCCCCCACCCCCCACAATGAATATCGACGTTCTTGCTTGATTTGCGGGACCAGCGTTGCAGTCTGGAAGAAAAGCAATGTGGAGTGGCAGCTCACCACTTCATAAGGAGTTTAACTTTTCCTTCTGGCAGAATCTACACAACACATCAGCCCCATTGAACACAGCCTAGTCATGCTAGCCTATACTGTACAACACATGAGGGGCAGAGTTTGACTGTGTGTTGCAACTTGCATATTTATTGCACTTGACGCACGGCGTAATTTCCACTGGGGACAGTCCCCCCCACTTTTCGAAATCCTGTTTGTGTCCCCCACTTACAATTTACGTTTATTATTATTTTTTAACGCAAGCCGTCATCGCCACGGAGGAGCACACCTCTGTGTGAGCGAGCGAGACAGAGGGAGAGACAGAGGGAGAGAGAGAGCGAGCGAGGGAGCTAGGGAGGGAGAGCGAGAGAGAGAGAGAGCGAGAGAGCACACCTTTATCCATTTAATATAGTTGTAACAAATAAAGTAAGAAATCATTCCAATGTGTACTATATTGTATTTAAAAGGAGTGATTAGTAAAATATGGATAAATAGAAAGAAAAAATGCTAACTAGGTAACACAAGATAAGAATACACTAGTTTAAATGATTTGTTATTGGTTGTGATCATATTCTAAAGATGTTTGGATTATTGAAAAGTATACAGCTCCCTTTCATCCGAGTGTTGAGAGCTGTATCCATAAATTCATGTTGTGCTCAAAGTGCACCAGATTGATGCATTTCACTTCAACATTTAAAAAAAAATGTGCATGCCCCCGGACCCCCCTAGAGGATGTGAGGACCCCCCCTGGAGGAGGTGAGGACCCCCCTAGAGGATGTGAGGACCCCCCCTGGAGGAGGTGAGGACCCCCCCTAGAGGATGTGAGGTCCACCCCCAAATAAAGCAGGTTAAAATAATTAGATTGCATACATTTTCTTTTAGTAAACACTGCAAACGGGTCCCAGAGACCCAAACAGCACACAAAGTATAATGTTCAAATGTGCTAAATATATACACTGCAAAAAACAAAAAAAAAGAGTAAAAGTAGCTCACGACGTTTTTTTAATTTTTTTAAGTAGCTCTCATTCTTAAAAAAAAAATCTCATTACTCTACACCCCTGGTGTAAAGTATTTTCTGCGTTCCAATAATCCAAAAGTACAACGAACAATGTTTTTACCTCTACTGCCCTGCTGCCTTTCCTGAGGCTTTACCTGGTCAAAAAGACATTTATTTTCTGGTGCTCCATTACTACCTCCACCTTTCTCCAATAAATACCTATTCACCCGGTTCCCAAAGCTGCCTTCCAAATAAAAGCAGAAATAACTATTTCAATTGAGGAAATAACTACACTAAGGATTGATCCATGTACAGTAAACAGCAAGATGTTTCACTTTTGAATAAAACAAATCAATGTGTAGCCCCAACAAACACTATGCATTACATTAATGCACATCATGCGTGCTATTTGTGTTCATATTAATACTGTGAGCCCTCCATATCCCTCTGAGTATTTTGCACATTTCTCTATAATCTGTCCTCCTTTCAAATCTACACAGCTCTCCACTTTAATGTAATATACTGTATTACATGTATTTTCCCTGTACTTGGTTTTTTTGTACATTTATTTTTCCTGTAAATACAGCAATCCTCTTGATTGATTTGATGCTCACACCAAGAGGCAATATATTAAATAAAATAAGCTGAAATCTGTCGTACCATGTCTGTCTGCCATGCAGTCAAAGAAGAGCCAGGAGTGAGGATCAGGGCCGTATTTGAGGAAGGACACATAGTGACTGGTTTGAATGCAGAGCACGGCAAACAGCTGCATGGTGTGTCGGGGGACCGGAGTATCAGAGGCCGCGGGGGCCGGCAGTGCTCTGGGGGAGTGGGCCTGCCGAGAGGGGTGGCTGTGGACCTTTAGGAGAAATAAAAAAGTTTTGAATTTGTGTACTGGTTTAAGACATGACTATAGTACGATTAAAAAAAAATCAAAACCAAGAATTACAAACATTTAATTTATCGAGAAACCTGTGCAGAGAGAAAAAAAAAAAAACCTCAATAAATTGTGGAAACATTATTATAATATAAGAGGAATACAATAAATACATTTATAAAAAAAAGAAAATACTAATAAAATATATAGGAAATAAATAATAAATAAAAATAAATATATATAAACAATATGAATAAAACAATTATAATATATAATAGAATACAAATACAATAAAATAGAAAGAAATAAATGACTATAAAGAATAACATTCAAGAAAAAATCTATGTGAAAAAAAATAGAAATAATAAATAAATACATATATCCAAGTTTTTAGAAGTGGTAGTTTTTAGAGATATGCAGGGCTTTGTTGCTGACCTGCGTGTTACATGTGGAGCAGAACGGTTTGATTCTCCCCGGCTGCATTTTGCGATCTGGGAGACACTGAAGACACTCGAACTCAGCCAGATGCCCACAGAGGAAACATTCCCTCGGAGCTGTTGGGAAAAGAAAGCGATTAGTAAACATCTATCAGCTCAATGAAAACACTTGATTAAAAGAAACCAGTCACAGTGCTTCTGTCTGTTCCTCACAGTTATAAAGGAGATCTGTGATGTCCAGCTCAGTGGTGGGGATTATGTGAGAAAACATCTTGTACTTGTTTCCAAATCTGGGCATCTGAACCATTAGACAGGAGGGCACCTGAGGGACGAAAAGGAATGGAAATAACATGACTGTATAACTTGATAATTACCATAGGGTTTCTTTAAGACCAGCACACACACTCACCTCTTCAAACTTGAGGTCCCCTGACAGGCAGGATGTGTCCAGCAGCTGTTGGACGGAGGGCATCTGTCCCATCTGTCCTTTTTCTAGAAAGATCTGGAATGTGTAGGCCCCCTGACATGTGTCCTGTCCTGATCTAAAAACAAACTCAATTTCAGTAACTTGATACGGTAAAAAAGGAAAGCATATTTCAAAAGATAACTCATAAAGTTTTGTCAGGTTGGACCGTTTTGTGTATGTGACTAATTGGTACAACCATTTTTCAAATAGTTTGAAGGGGGAAAGCTGCCTCGCTGTAAGGCAAATTGCTCAGTGAAATTCCAAAACGTCACTGGAGCTCAACTAAAACTTCTTATCTTTGCCACTGAGAGCATACTTGCCAACCCTCCCGATTTTCGCGGGAGACTCCCGATTTCATTGCCCTCTCCCGGGGTCATATTTCTCCCGCATTTCTCCCGATTTCTGACAAAATCAGATTTACTCAGGACTGTTTCCACTCGGACTTTACTACAGCTACACCATTGTTTGGTTTCCATGGTAGCGCGTCTCTTTAGCAGCGCGCGCAACTCAAAGTCTGAGAGGGTGAGGAAGCTATATCACAGAAAACTGAACAAGAATCGACAACACGACCCTCTGCTCAATCCTTTCCTGAAAAATACAGGTCCAGCCCACACCTATGCTCCATCAAGGGTGGTGCTTCAGGCCGCAAGGCAGTGCACTTACAACTACAATAAGCATGTTAATGTTAATCTAGTACAGCTCCGGCGATGATCCACTAGCGCACCCCCGCGGTGGTTTTGAAATGCTCCCGATTTCTGAGGACTCAAGGTTGGCAAGTATGACTGAGAGGCCTAATTCCGTGCTGCTCCAAACCAACAAGTGGGGAGTAAGTGGGCTATCAAGCCCTCCAACAGTGAGTGTGCATCGGTCCTGACTAACCACCTGCACCACCTGACCAGAAGCAATGCTGTTTGACGTCATGAAACACGCTGTTTACAACTACTCCTGTGCATACACTTATTAGTAAACTGAACAAATTAAGACATTGGTTATTGTCATACATGTGACTTGATCACATATCATATCATATAAGTCTAAAAAAACGGCATTTGATTCTAGTTTTGCAAAAACCAAGCAGCTCATAAACACCCCGATTGGAAACAAAAGAGGTTTACAAAAAAGAAGCGTCACTAAAGTGTGTTGGAGTTGTATTATAATTATTATTTGTTGTCCGAGAGGTGTTGATGAGAGGGGAGTTTGTCTCAATGCTTCCTACTGTATTTACACGTGCACCTGAAAGAAGGGAGCCTCAATCAGCCGAGAGTGCGACTACACAGTGGAAGTGCGTAGGGGTCGGTTTGGTTTTGGGCCTCAAATTTCGGACAAAACTATCAGGAAGGACTCTACAGGAAAATGTAATGTTTTCGTAACCTTTCCCTCGGTCAGGTCTGTTTGCATTTTTTGATATAAGTCACTTAGGGATACAAATTGGAAAGATAGCGTTCAAGTAGAAATACACCAAAGTTACCCTTTATAACCGTTTGGCTTTAATCTTACCGGAGCTTAATCAAAGGGCCCATGCGAAGCACTTTCTGAAAGAGGACTGTGATGAACTCCTCTGGATCTGCGGTGAAGCAAAGCATTCAAAGGTTGTAACAATAGGCTTCAGTATGTTATGCCGCAATGATTAAAGACCTTCTAATGAAATATGTTGTTGCGCGATAAGGGTGTGTACCTTTCTCCTCTGTTCGGAAGGTGTCACAGCCAAGTTGTTGTCTGAAGTTCATTACACTTTGAGCCGGCACAAATCCTTGTCTGCAATAGATTCATTAGCTATCATTAGGCAAACACAAAAACTCAAAACAATGAAATATACCATAACAATCAAGAGCGAACACACCCTAGTTTTAAGCACATTGTGCGTTAGCTAGTGTACCCGTATCATTAAGACACAGAGTCCTTGTTTACCACTTGAGCCGATGTAAAATGTCATTATGTTCTTGTTTTTCAGAGTACATGATAATGCAAGGCGTTAGAAAAACAAAACCTTGAAGAAAGAGTTCATACCTTCGCAAACGGTTGACGATTTCTCTGAAAGTGCACATTATGGGTCTCTCTGTGTCAGCAGGCGTCTGGCAGATATTATCCAGGGTCACAGAGGAGCTGAACAAACTGAAGGAAAAGAGATAAACACTTTATTTTATCAACTTGTCTAAATAGAGTTCAGCATGCTTTTAAAATGACTTAAAATAATGACATTCAAGTTCATTTGAGCTGCACTGGCAACAGAGCGCTACTTGAGCGTCACATGCTCTGAGGGGAGGTGAACTGGATTTACCTGAAGAGTGTGACATCAAGGTAACAGGAGTTGATGTGACCCTGAATCCCCTTCATTTTCCCCACCAACAAAGACAAGGCCTCCGATTCAGGACAAGGAGGGGCGTACTCCTCAGGGTCCTCATACAGAGGAACTGAAAACAGCAAGCAAACACACAAAAACACATGTTCACTATCATGAAGGGGATGATATTTAAACCCACACATCATCATTTCACCGGCAGTTTCAGATCTGAGGAAAGTAGTATTCTGCAGCAGATTCTCACCTGGCTTAAACACGGTTGGATAATTACAATTTGTGCATCATTATTCATTAATCTGCGTGTCCCAAAGTAGGAAGTGCACCGGACTGTCATAACAGTCGCACTGACTAGTGACACTGCATGCATTGTTACAGGCATGACTTAACTTCTCTTTAATAACTTCTGCCAGAGGCATAAGGGTGTGAAGATAAAGTCAGACTGTTTTTAACTAGTGTGGCGTGACACATCAACAGGATCAAGTTTAGCTTCCTTTTCTCTAACACTCTATAATAAAACCTATATCTGGGTATTTATTTTCCATGTATGATGTTTAAAAACCTTTTATGCATTTTGTTATCTTTTATCTTTTTCACCTGGTATGCTATTATCCAGATTGCCTCCCATTGGCTGTTGCTATTATATATGTCGGTTTGTTAATAGCCCTTACAAAAACAAAATGTTCTATGATGTAGCCACTGCATTTAAGGCTTTTCCACCCGTTGTTACTCCTTTGTTTTTTAAGAGCACATCGTGGTTCTAAGGTTTGTTTGTACAGACCAAACATTAAACTGTTTTCCAAAGATGAAAACACCCTTAAAACTGTCTCTGTTGTGAGCTGTGTGAATTATAAAAAAAGAAAACAACACAGAGTAATGCAAAACATCCATCGCTGAAGCTTTATGTAATATCTTCACGTAATACTGTAACCTCAAAAGATGACAGTGTGCAAAGTTTGTTATGTTTTTCTTGTATATCATGATGACCTAAGCTTCAACTGTATTTCGTTGTGCTTCCCTGTGTTGCATAATGTAAATGGATATTCAAATCCCTGATATGAGGGTACATTTGAATTGTGTGTATGCATGTCTCACAAGCTGAAGGAAGTGTCTTACCTAGAAGTGTGTCTGTGGGTTTGGAGGTCCCCCTTCCTGAGGAGGAGCAGCTGAACCTGCTGTCGGGGCTGCACTTTGTGACGGGAACAAACAAAGCCCTGCTCGCTTTGCAGGTGAAATACTGCTGGCTTCCATACTTTCCATCAGAGCAACCGCGCACATCATAGTCCTGAAACAATGCGTAAAACAATCAGTAATGAGAACAGAAGACAAACTGTCCACAATCTTAAAAACGTACCAGTTCGATTCCAGCCCATTCATTAGTCTTCCCTGCAGGGACCCCCAACCACTGGATGACTCCGTACACTGTGACCCCCGAGTTGGACACCACCTCCACCAGGGACCCCACCTCCAGAGGCACATGAGATGCACTTGGACTTTGGCCCTGAACGGTACTCTGCTCCGTAAGGTTCTCCCTCGTTTGTCGTGCATGAGATCCAATATTCGGCAAGGAGTTGATGCGCGTCACCGCTTTTCTGTTCAGACCTGCGGAGAGGTATGAAGAATGAAAGTCACACGTCATTTCATCACTCATCAGATTGACCTCCGGCTAACACGGCAAACGTTAACGTAGGAGATACGCAGACAGCTCAGAGTTCACTATGTTCCTAAATGGAAGACCTCGTGATCACTCTGATGTTTGAAATTCCAGAGGAAACGGACCAGTTGTTCCTGTTTATGCTGGGAAAGCCGTGTGGGAATCACATGTGTCTTGTGAAAACTCTCAAGCGCAGCTGATTGGAGGGGAATGGATGCTCTTTTTCATACAAAAAATATGTATTGAAAGGAATTCAGAAACCAAGTAACTTGTGGTTAGGTAATGCATTTTGAAGGAGGTAGTTAATCTGTGATCGCTATATTAATTTACCCCCAGATTGTCCGTCCTTCCAGTGCAGTCCGAGGGGAACCGAGTACGACGGGACCACCTGCACAACGTCCGCCGCGCTGAACAGGGGCAGAGGGGGGGGTTTCTTGGAGGACAAATTCTGATCACTGTCCTACAAAGGAAGACAAAGGCAAAACAGAAACTCAACACCCTTATGTACAGAATGCAGATAACGTCTCATGTGCACTCAGGTGTACTTTTTGAGAGTCATGCATTTATCTAGGAAATCTTCATTCTAAGATACATAGATCACCTGAACTGATACGGGCCTGCTCGTCTCAATACATTTCTTGAGGTTATATAAGTGAGTGTGCACTTACTGTATAAGCACCAGAGAAACCAGATTGGCCCATTTCATAATAATATATATCACAACTGGTAAAGGTGCAGCTAGTTTGAATTACTTTGTATACTGCAGGATATTTTGTGAATTCCTCCATATGTAACTAAAGTCTTATTTAAGGGTTACTTTAATTTCAAAGCATGAATCCAAATCTAGCAAAGTAACTAAAAGGTATAAAATAAATGTAGTGGAGTAAAAGTACACTTGTCACCTCTGAATTGTAGTAGAGTCCCTCAAATGTGCACCTCAGTAAAGTACTTGAGTAAATCTACTAAGTTACTTACATCACTGGAAACTAGATAACTCTAACCAATGTTGCAAATAATAAACCAGACTTTACCCACCACAAACTCCACCTCGAAGCCGAGCATGTGCAGGTCGTCTTTGTGCTCCTTCCTCCCGATCTGCATCAGGTTCTTCACCAGCCCCGGCAGGTGTCCTTTCTTGTGCTTCACCACCACCAGGTCGTCCTGAGACAGCTCGCAGATAGCAGAGAACAGCTGGGGGTTGCACAGCAGCTCCAGGCGTTTGCTCACAGAGGAAACGAAGAGCAGCAGCTGGGCCTGGTGGCGGGTCAGAGAGTAGGTGTCCTCCTTCCTCACGGTGCCTCCACTCTTGGGATTCAAAGCGTTGCTCCCAGCGCAGTACAGCAGCCCCGTCAGCTCCCCACACTGCGTCTCCGTCTCCACACGACCGATACATCCCCGGCAGAAGCCTTTCCTTGACTTCCCTCGTATCACGATGAAAAACTTCTCCTTCACTGCAGCTCTGGGCTCCATATTCCCACTAGAATAAACTGTTAAACCGTTTCGAAGCAGCCGATGTGTGCTGGTTAACCTGTAGGAATAAAACAAGAGTAGTTAGTTCATAGCAAAAGGCTAGTTAATTACAAAGTAAGGAGAACATGAATTACAGAAACATATCAAACACATTCCTGTGAAACAATACTCACTTTGTCATGGAAAATACAAACACAATGGCATGTCTCACATCAGCTACAACCACCAGATGACCATATTTACTCAAGTACTGAACTTAAGTATTTCCATTTTTCACTAAAGATTAATGGTGTACTTTAACTCCACTAACTTTAGTTACTTACAGATTTGGATTAATGATGTGAAATATGGTCAACTCTTAAATAAGACTTTATTTACACCTGGAGTAAATTCACAAGCTACCCTGCAGTATACAAAGTCATTCAAACTAGCTGCACTTTTACTAACACATTAATGTGTCAATAATGAATCAAAACATATAATATATTAGAAAATGGGTCAGTATGCAGAAGGAGTATGTGAAGCTGACCGTTGAGCGGCCCGACCAAGCAAGGAGGCAGAACGTCCAAAAATATAACCCGACGTGGGCATTTATTAAAATATGAACACATTACACACAGCCTCAATCCTGCTGCTGCTGGTCACGTGAGCCCAGCCTGCAGCCACCAGGATCTCACACACACACTCCCTTTCCTAACAGACAGGGAAACAGAGCCTAAATACCCACACACACTAATCAGCAACTAGACACAGGTGAGGGGGGAGGAGACAACACAGGGCACCAGGTGCACACAATCCTTTAATAAATACTATCTCAATAATTAGTATTTAAAATGTGCAAATATGCCATACCAAACGGTACGGTGCAATCACGCTAATAAAGTGCAAACCTGTTCACTAAAGTGCTGAGTTACCAGGCCCGAAGCCGTCAGTTCTCAGTGACGAAGTCACCTTCGTCACAGAGTACTTTTGAACTTTTACTTGACTCACATTTTGAATCCAGGACTTTTATTTGTAACAGTGTTCCTACACGCTGGTACTTCTACTTAAGTACAATATAAGAGTACTTCTTCCACTTCAGATACTAGTTTTATTATTGTTTACAATATAAAAGTCCCTGTACAAATCATCATGGTAATAGGCAAGAGTCAAGACACTTCACCCCAAATTGCTCCTGTGGGGATTGTCCACAGAACTGAATGTATGTAAGTCGCTTTGGATAAAAGCGTCTAACAAATGACATTAACTAACTAAAAACTAACTAACTAAAGGTGCACAGGAGGAGAGGGAGCACCAGTGAATGTGTGAAAGTTACTTGTTAGCAAAACTATTCAATAACACTATGAGTTAGCAAATTAGCTAACCTTTGTTTAAACTCTTAACGTTAGCTTTAGTCACTTAAAGAAACAAATAGGCATATTGTTAAGAGACTGTCACGTCGCATCATAATCATGTTACATTATCATCCTGACTGACAAGCAAGACGTATTACATTTTGTATTCTACGTATCAATAAAGGGGGTTTCTCTCATGTATTTAAACGTACCGCTTTGTAAATGTATATTAAAAATTGTTTCTAACTAATTTTAGTGTAGTGTCAAATTTGATAAACGAACGCACCCCTAGAAAACTCGACCCATTTAAATGTATAAACCGAACTTCCCTATAAAGCTGCTCTAACAACTTTATATCAATAATATTCATTACAGAGTTTAGCTCGACTTACTTACTGTTGTTATGAGTTACTCCGCGAACGGTTTCGCTGTAGCACCATGAAGAAAGTCGTCAGGAAGCAACAGGTGTCTGCGGCGTGAACTCTCTCCCCTTGTGTTGGAGGAGTGACAACCTGAACGTTTTGATTCTGACTTGCATGTGACCGAACCTCCCACTTGGCAGATCCCAATTTCTCCGCCCCCAATCTGTCTTCTGCACGACATTTCCTCAACAAAACATGACTGATAAAATGAGGGAGGATATTCTTGACTATATCCTTAAACTCAAAGTGGCTCCTAATACAGCTACTATTATATGATCACTGGGGATGCATGCACTGATCTGTAAAGTCGTGTTTATTTAAAAGTACCACGACCACATAAATACTGTTACAAGTGAAAGTCATTAATCCAATATTTCACGAAAATAAATATAATTGTTAGCATCAAAGTATCATAGATAAAAGCGAGCCTTCTCATTATCATACAGAATGGCCTATTTTAGAGTAATGTATATTACAATTATCAAATGCATTTCAATGTACACGTTGCAGTTGGGAAAGGTGGCTTATTTATTTTTAATTATATTTAATGCTGGGTTGCTTTTCAATTTGACCAAGGGATCAATGACATCTTATCACATTTAATTCAAGTTATTTACTGATTTGATTAATTCATTAATCATTGCTGTTCTAAAATAGTACAGATGTGTGTATCACTAGGATTATTGTTTTAAAATCCGTGTCATTTCTTTCATAAAATGCAGTTTATGATTCAAGATTAAAATAATCCCAAATCGTCCTGTGCAGATAGTGACTTTAAATATTATTTTATGAAGACAAGAGTCCAATTGTTCAGATTTCATTGTCATCTTACAAACATGTAGAAGGTCATGTTTTATGAACCCTGGAATGTTATTTAACAGAAGCGGCGGAGAAACAGTTTCAAAAGATAGTTAGGTCAAATGTTTAACCAGTGGCTCGGCTACAACATTTTGAGTGACATGTTTGTCTGCGTGTTTGCACGTAGCCTTGTGAGTCACGTAAAGGTATATTACAAAGTAGATTCAGTTAAGGCATGTGGTGCCATGTAGGTTTGAGGATCGCAGAAAAATACATTTGTAGTGAACATTTAAAAAAAAAAACCTGTGTTGTGAATCAGAAAGAAAAGCACTGTTTAATCAACAAATACCCGAGGTGAATCACTTCTTATTCTACAAGATATCTAACTACATTGTATAAGATTAAAGCACCACAGCCTTATTGTCAAACAATTTTGACCCCAATTTATTTTACAAATAGCATTATCTTCATAATATTGTAAATGTCTTATTTCTTCTTGATACTTTCATCTGTGTTGATATTTAATATATATATATATATATATATATATATAATAATAATATGGTCGCTGTCTTGGCTGGCTAGTACTTCTACTTTAGTACAGGATCTGAGTACTCCTCCCACCTCTGTGTACATGCAACACATTTTAAGCAGAACCTAAATATTAACGACTCCACCTGAGAGGATATTAAAATGAACTTGTTGCATTAATATTGTGAAAGCTGTAAGCACGTATGTTTCCCAGTGCTAATAAACACTGATAGGTTAGCGCCACCTACTGGAAGAAGTGTGTTTTATTGACATGGCTGTAAAACAGTGCTGAACAAAATTCTGAACACATAGTTTACATAAAAATGTTTTATACATCTAACTCAGTCGTGTTGGTCACAAACTTGGAAGGCCAACAACAGAATTCAGACTTAACTAAATAAAATAATTTTCAGGGAAAAAGGGAATTGAGATGGAAGTGGAAACTGTCCGTGAAATAATATTAAATAGGATTGACTTGTTATTACCATAGACTGTATAGGTTATTACTGATGTATTACAGTACGTACAGCAGGATGGAGCTTCTTAAAGACTATTCTTAACAAATAAAACACTGGTCAAGTGTCACTAGCCTTTGAAGTGATAATCTTGTGTAAATGTAAAAAAAAAAAAAAGTCTCTCAGGGGCCTTGTTAAACCAAGGTGACTGAGCCCACAGAGTTTAATCCTGAAAAGGCAATAAGAAGGAACATAATAACTGGGCTTGCAAACTGTTCAACCCCACAGAGCAGATCGTACAAAAACTGTACAGATCTCCAGGTAACGGCAGCCAAACCTACACCAACGAAGAAATGTGGAGCTTTCAATATCAGGCTGTTTGTCCCAAACTACTTCCCATAAACGTCTGAAAGCTAAAACACTCAATCGAACTGCTGCTGAGGCATGTGTCCTCTCCATCTGGGCGGGGCCAGGTACTCGAACATGGACCATGTGTGTGGAGAGCATGTTCTTCAGGTCTGAGGGCATGGGGTCGGACCAGAAGAAGTCGTGGTTGAGCGCGTCGTCGCTGTCTATGCGCTGCGGTCCAGAGCGTACGGGTCCTTCACGTAGGCCATCATAAAAGTAAAATACCATATTGTTCAGTTCCAGTTCTTGTAGATACACTGTGATCTGTTCGTTATAATGCACATCTGTCAATTATAAACAGAGGCTTAATATTGTTGAAATTGCACTTATTTGTCTAATGTTTTGTAGTTCATCGAATTTGAACATTGTACTTTTCTGCACTAAAACAAAAAGGGAAGGAGTTGTGGTTATTATTATTATTATGCTATGATTTTACTGCTCCAGCCCACTTGAGATCGAATGTGGCCCCTGAACTAAAACGACCCCCTCCTCTAAAGCCATGTTCCTGTTCCTATGTTACCTCAGCAGTGATGAGCCGCACAGCTGGCTGATGAGTCAGCTGATGCAAGCGTTGCCTTGCATTATGGGACTTCTGGTCCACTGGCCGTAGTCTTCTCACCTAACAGAAAAAATTGCTAAATTAAAAAGTTAATAAAACGCCTTTTCCAATCGTTGCAACCCTCGAAAGCGCTTTCAGATACGAGTCTGCATTCACCCATTCACACATATATTCATTCATACAGAGGTTGTGTTCAAGGTGCAGCTGCTCTGTGAAACTAACATCCACACAAACTGTTGGAGCAATTAGACGTTAAGGGTCTTCCCACAGGACACATCAACATGCTTGACCATCGACATTGCGACTGGTGGACATCTGAGGCCTGTACTACGAATCCAGTTCAACATACCAGTGCATGACATTAAGGATTTTGGGAGATGGCCCTGAGCCCAATAGAGATTGCCCTGAAAAATGCGCGCGGACGAAATTACGCACGAAGGGTTTGGGGGGCCTCCCCCTAGAATATTTAGATTTTTGCAGGTCTTAGATGCTGTCTGGTTCTCTAGACTGAATTATAAGATGAACCACCACAATATTAGACAATTTCAATTGTATTCTTCATTTCACTTGTTTGTTCTTGTTTGTGTTTGCTCGCTTGCATGCACTGCATAGCTATAAGAAATACTTAAGTTGTTGGTCAAGACACTTTCCATCTGATGAAGGCAAATGCCTTCCCAGATGGAAAAAAGTAGAAAACATTACATTCAGTTATAACTGCCAAAACAAACGTTATTTACACTATTATGGCCCCTGTTAAAAATGTTTGTAATGTTGGTAATGCCTCGGGGTTCCGGTGGGCATGTAAACAAATGCATAATGCTGCGCTATACTTTGTGGCCTCACCCGGTTGCATAGCGATGCTTATTGTTTAGGTGTCTTTTAATAAGCAGGTAGTCATATCATTAGCTAGAACTAGCTGGATCTGATCGATATGGACATAAACGCGAGTGAAGTCTAATCTGACGGGAGAGAGAGATCAGCTGCTGCTGACGAGTCGACAGCAGCTCCGCATGATCACATGTAGCGGTGAGCGGAGAAAACACACACTTCAGGTTAGAATATCACACGTAGCTATTTTAATTACCTCTCAAACTACCTAAACTAGTTATAGATATGTTTAGTTTTACTGTCGGGGGGTCACTCATTACTGGATCCGCGAGCTGCATGATACTGGCGTAATAGATTGCCTGATCGGGCAACCAGCAGGTGAGGCTTCATTGCCCGAGCTAAACACTAGATGGCCCCGGGCCATCGGGCAGTCCTTAATGTCGAGCCCTGCATACCCTGGATATGTTTGAGTTACCCGGCTTACTTCACCCAAAACAAACGCGCTCTCGCTAAGCGGACCTACGACGCTGGTCATCAACTCGGTAACTCAAACCAGGGTTTCTCTGTCCAGCTGAGAGCGTGTTCACATGAAAGGGGCGAGGTTAGCAACATTTGACCAATCACAAACGTACTGACAGCGCAGCGTCATACTTCCTGAATGAAAAGTCAACTATAATATTAGACATATGAAGAAGTTAAACTTTAAACATCCATGACTTAAACACTTTATCCAGGATAAAAGCCACATAGGGTTCACCTGCAAGGTGAATACAGCTGGTAAAAGAAAAAGTGTTTGAATGCGTACATTAACAGGTTTATGATATCACTGGAAAAGACACGATCTGACTTTAATTACATTTGACTCGAGTGTTTCGTCAACTTAATGTGTTGCTTAAAATACAGGGTTCATACACTTTTTCACCAATGATTTTCAATGACCTTTATCTAATTTTCCATGACCAAATAAATGACTCGGCGGTACCACTGAAAATGGTTTATTTTAACATGGACCAGGAAAATAAGGTCTGCATATGAAACATGTTGTGCCTATCTCAAACAAATCAAACAGGCTTACTAGCTTCTACAGCTAAAGCAACTAAAATCTCTCACCAGCAAAATACCTCAACAGTTAAATGCCATTTCACATTTAATTACTATACGATACAGTATTTATTATCATTATAGTATTACTATTTCGGCGATTAGATAAAATATACATTATATTTGATGCAACTTTAAATTTCCATGACTTTTCCAAAACTTTGGGAAAAATATTGTTTTCCAGAACTTTTCCAGGGCCTGGAATTATCATTTTGAATTTCCATGACTATTCCAGGTTTTTAATGACTGTAAGAACCCTGAAAATAATACTTCTGCATACAGTATGTGACACGGCAAGATACGGCTCAGCTGACTCAAAAAGGACATATATGATACATTATGATGTGACTAAAGTATATTGGTAATTTCTGCACACTACCTCTTTAAAACCACATAGAACTACCACACTAAATTCTGATAAGCTGTAATATTTCATATTCTATTTGTCAGAGTAATTTGTAATTGATGTAATCGTTATTATTTTATTTTATTTTTTTAATTGGTTATATTATAGTTCTATATTTGGTAATTTTTTTAAACTGAATTCCTTGTATGTAAAACGACTTGGCAATGACTTTTCTTTAGATTCTGATATAAGAAATGTTTTACAAATATTCTGTAGGATTGCAATACCGTCAATACAAACATGATCATATATTTTAAGCTAATTCTTCTTCAACATTTGATAATTCATTTACATCAATATGTTTGTTTCCAGGAATTTGTATTGCTCCTTTCTGTTGACATGTTTGTCCTCTTGACTTTAACTATGGAACAACTTGCATTAACCTCAACAAGTTGAAGGGTCTGCGGGGTTAGGCAGAGGGGAGGACTCTGAACCATTTTCACGGTTCTATTTATCACCCCTGAGGACATGAGCAATGGCATGTCAGATACACCCCACTATTTTGGGCGGTGGTGGCGAAGTCGATAGGGACTTGGCAACTGGAAGGTGACCAGTTCAAGTCCCGGCAAGACCAAGTGCTACGAGGTGCCCCTGAGCAAGGCACCGTTCCCTACACTGCTCCCCGGGCGCCGTTCAAAATGGCAGCACACTGCTCCTAACACAGGATGGGTCAAATGCAGAGAAACAATTTCCCCACGGGGATTAATAAAGTATATCAAATCAAAATCAAAAAATCAAATCACACACAGAAACACGCACAACGGTGGCATCCCAAGCAGCCAGGAGCCAGAGGAACAGCTGTCTGTGACAGGGCACACACACTTCAAACAGCAAACGGCTGGCTGGGGGGGACACGCACACGCAATCTTGAAGGAAGCGTTGCAACACAGAGAAATACGTTTTCTGACTATTAAAAGCCTGTTAAATTAAGAGTTGCAAAGTTAATTTTATTTATCAATTAAACAATTGATGGAAATAGATTCACTGACTCATTTGCAAATAGATTAAGCAGTTGTCATTTTCAAGCAAACCTAACAAATATAAAATAGTTTCATGCTCTCAAATGCAAGATTAGTTGCTTTTATTTGTCTTAAATTAACTATTTCTTGGATTTAACTGTTAATTGGACAACAGAAGTTTGTTGTCATCAGCAGTGTTGGGACTAACGCGGTACAAGTAACGCGTTACAAAGTAACGCCGTTATTTTTGGCAGTAAC